ACAGAGAACTTTGGATTCCCAGCTGGTACAGGCTCGGCTTCTGTTTGGCGGGTTCAGGACCTGCCAAATATAGGAGTGGCAAAAAGAGTTGTGGTTTCAAATGATTGGAGGAAAAAGAAAACAACTACAAGTAAATGGCCAGTAACCATCATCACATGTTGTTTTTGAAAAACTTCAGGTCGTAAGGGTCTTTCAACCCTGGTCAACCGCAAGCTGAGAAAGCCTCAGCCTCGAATTTTCACGAAGTGAGCTTTGAATTAAGTACCGTTGATATGAATGGATGGTTGTCAACCCATACTAGGGCCACCCCATGCATTGATTTGTTAGTGAAAATTGTCATGTAATGCTGTTCTGACAAGCCCTGTAACCGTCAGAAGTGTCAAATTATTGTCATCCATAGCACGAATGATCAGTGGTTGCTGCTAGTCATTTGTAGTCACGATTCTTAACTGTCAAGCAGCAGTCATCAATGATCACTTTATTTCACTTTATTGTGACGCGCACCGGCAGTGACAACGGCCGGAGCGCTCCATCCTCGCCTGCTATGCGCGCAGGGCATCCATGGTGAAACCAGCAAGGCTCACTTGTTTGAGCGCAGATTGGGACTTCCCTTGTCTCCCCAACTCAGCCATGATTTGCTGATCGATGGCTTGGAGTCTACTAGGGTCCCATGGAAGACGGTAACACATCAACCAACCAGCAATCTGTCAGGTCTTTTCACACCACTAACCACAACATAACCATGATACTTCCAATACGCACGAAGCAAACCAAGGAAAGTGACAATTCTACAACCCCACAACTTGTCTGCTTCCATGGGCAGCTCTGCCTTGCTTGCATACCACTTTTTATGGTACACATACGGGCCTTCATGACCAGTGGAACCAGTGAAATCAGCAAACAACTGAAACCACTTTCAATAAAGGGACACACAATCTGGGTCCACCACCCATGAATCGCGGAGACATTTGCCTCACCATAACGTGCCACCATTTTGGATGACCTTTCCCAGCTCAGAACACGTGGTTGATTGTACTCAATTCTTGACGACCCCTGCACCTCTGGTGTCGGACGAGGCTTCCCCGGGTCTTGAGCCGCCACTTTCCAAGCAATCCTCAACGCAACTTGCCAGACCAAACCCAGAAGCCGCTGATGTTTCTGACACGCAGCATCCATAGCCTGCCATGATTTCCAGAATGTTTCGGATCGTCTGAAATTGATGTTCCCTGCAGCTTGATCAACCAGCTGAATGTTTCTAAGGTAGGCCCACTGCTGGAGCCCTGACTCTGCACGCACCGTGGGAGACCACCTTAGAGATTTCAATCTGTCCATCACTTGCGTCTTGCAGCCAATGATGTACCTGTAGCCACAAATCAGCATGCGCAGCATTGGCTTTACTGAGCCACCCTGTAAAAGATGACGCAGCCGCCGCACCACCACTTGACAGCCTGACCATAAATGAACACGCCTGCTTCTAGCAACCGCCCACTTAATGGCTTTGACTGCTGCAGTGATTTCTGCTCTTAGGGATGTCTGGACTAACCCCGAAACCCAACCCCCACATAAGATCTCTGAATCCAACGTGGTGTGTTCAGTTCCTGCTAAACACACTGCCCATGCTGCAAAACGGCGGGTGGGATCTCGTGGAAATGCACATGTGCCATCCAGAAACAAATGGAGGATCTCCTTGCTTGACGGCTGGACCTCCCGTTGAATACCTACTGGTTCGGATGCACACGGATGCTGAAGGGTTCGGAAGTGAGCCTCAACTTCGGCCGGTTGGAGGTGCCACCCATGAAGGCGAGCACAAGCTGGCAGGGCATTGATCTCTGCCATGTCTGCACTTGGGATATCTTTGCGGCACTCTTCGAAGTGCTGGCACTGCCACATACGGTGCTCGAACCCATCCTTGGCTTGGCAATATTTGCACTGACCGGTGACTCCAGGCTGAAACTTTGCCCGGGCTCTCTGAGTGAAAATGGTTCCATCTAACATGCATCGGATGAACACTTGGTCGGATGCACCATATGCACGAAGGGCCGTCTGCACTGCGGCAATGTCTGCTTGCTCGATGCCTACCATGGTAGGCCGATGGTGGACTTCCTTGGATGAGTTCCTGGATGGGGATAGCTGCAAGGCTGAAGCTACCAACTTTGTCAGTGATGAGACCTGCTGGAGAGATCTCCCATCCCAGTCGTTGGATTCGTTCCCACAATGCAGCCACGGGTCCATTTTGTGGGAGCTCGCCGGATGCATCTGCAAACAAGCCTAACACTGCCTCCAGGGCTCCTGGATCACGATACTCGCGGGTATCCCGGAATGTCTGTATGATTGCCCAGGCCTCTGGGTCATTCTGCAAATCTTGAGTAGCCAAATGCAACACTGGATTTGAGCCGACACGGTTGGCCCGCAACCCTTTCATAGCTCCGGTCCTCAAGGAACGGTAGTGTTGAGTACCCACTGGCACCACGGACACTGCATAGGCATAGAGGGCTCGAGGCCATGCCAATGTTTTGAGAGCCAACAGCTTAAGCTTGTACGGGCTCAGACATGCTCTCAAATTGGACCACACCGATTGCATGGTGCGGATGCGCTGCAACAAAGTGCCATTGCTGTACCTACGGCAGTAGTTTTGATGTGCACCTAGTGATCTGGCACCTGGACGGGGCCGTCACGGAACTCTGCTCGAGCAGCGGCATCTAAGCTCCATGCGAATGTTTTGGTGATGTCAAGGTCTAGGTCTGTGATGCTCACGAACTGCTGCACTGCAGCCCACAAGGGACCAAGTTGGGACGGATGCCCAAACTGCACATTCCAATCATCAACAAACGTTTCAAGGACATATGTCTGATCCACCGCCTTTAGCCACAAATCTAACATCCAGTCCACTATTAGCATGCTGAAAACTGAAAGCCCACACCCTTCTGGAAAACCACAGTTGGACCACTGTGGGGGCCCGAGCGAGCTACGGACACGAAATCGCCTCCCCGGATGAGCAACGAATGATTGCCACGTACATAACATGTCTCGTGGGAACCCCATTTGCAACAATGCAGCCCACAGTGGGAGGCGAGGAAGGCTGTTGAATGCCTTCCGAAGATCAAGCACGATTCCATGGATTTGGACCCCACTGGCATTGAGGTGCTTGGAATGCGATGGTTGCTTACTTGGAAAATTGATGGGGAAAAATATCGCGACACTGGCGGAAGAAAGGCGAAAGCGCGTGCCATCATTTTGGGGTACCATGATCCGTCATATCAGTATCGGGAAACTTCCGCCCCAACTCCCAGTCGTGCCGGGCGCCAGTTATTTTTCCAGATGTGTAGTTGGAAACGGTTTCGTGTGAGCAAAGGGTTCTGGAGCCTTCCTGCAAGGCTCAGACCTTGAAGAAACCATGTGGTGTCGACCACTCCCAGAGATATGTACGGCTATGGGAATCGATGTGGGAACCCCCATGGTGATGAAAAAAGGCTGCCTACGGTTTGGTTCAAGCTCCCCTTCAATGGTATCGAAGTGTTTGTAGTTTTATGCAGTCTATTGGTTACCATCGGTTGAAAACGGAACCATGTTGTTGGATTTATGTCCATGAAGGTTGTGTCAAATCTACTTGTCATGCCCATGTTGATGATTTTATGGTTGGAGGTGCTGATGGTTGTTTGGTTCACCAACATTTGATGACTCAGTTGAAACAGAAATACCAATGGGGAACCTGGGAACACACGGAATTTGTCCAATGTGGGATACAAGTGCGCCAATTGCCGGATTACAGCATTGAGATTGACCAACAACAGTTTTTGGAGGACCTGGAAGAAATCAATCTTAGTAGAGACAGATCGAGAACACCTGACCTTCCTACCACGGAACATGAGAAGAAACAGATGAGAGCTGTTTTGGGAGGGGCTTCATGGGTTTGTGGCCAAACCATGTTTCCTTATTCTGTTGATGTTGGAATGCTTCTGACGACTGTCCCCAAAAGTACGGTTGCTGATGTTTTGACTACCAACCAGCTTGTTAGAAATCTCAAAAAGTGGAAAACCAACAAAATCAAAATCCATGCTTTTCATCCGGAAGATGAAATTGAACTGGTGGCATGGGCGGATGCCGCACATGCAAACAGACCCAATGGATCAGATAGTACCCTAGGTGTGTTCATTGGAACCAGCACCAAAGCGCTCCGAGAGGGCAGGGAGGAGAACGTGACTCCAATCTTTTGGAGATCCAGTAAGGCAGAACGAACCTGCCGATCGCCCGCATGTGCTGAAGCTTTGGCTTGCATTGACGCCGAGGACGAACTATTGTGCCTAAGGGTTTTATGGGCTGAAATGTTGGGATCTAGTTTGTCAAACTCTCACCCTGATGATGTCGCTAGGAAAATCCCTTCACTCTTGATCACTGATGCTAAGAACCTGTTTGATAAGGTGTTACGACCTATTCCCACGGTTAAAGGAGCCGAGAAAAGAAACAGTGTTGAGTGCATTGCTTTCAGAGAACACCTTGACCACACAGATACTCCTCTCAGGTGGGTACATGGGGATGCGATGATAGCGAATAGCTTGACTAAATGCCATGAGAAAGGTCAGATGATGAGATATATTCAGATGGGATATCGCTGGAAGATAATATATGATGAAACCATGATGAGCGCCAAACAAAGGAAATCCCAAGGTATTGAACCCATGACTGAAGGCAAGACCCACAGGAGACGACTCCAAGAACTTCTCGCGCACACTGGACATACAAAGGAGGAAGGAGAAACCTGACCCTGTGTGTTGGTGGCGGTTGTGCGGGGTGTGTGTTTGTTTGTGTGGTGTGGTTTTGGTGTTGTCCTCTTGGTGTTGTTGTTGTTTTGGTTATCAAAGGCACAGCTTTGGACATGCAACGCAAAACCATGAACTCACAGCACATGTTGTAGATGCGGACGATGTGTCATTTCTGTGACGTTGCGCTTCTGACATTTGTTCCAAAAACAAAATGAATGAAATTCTGTTTGAGGTCTGTACCTTCTTCAAATAGTCCTGTCAACAGCGTGTTTTCAAACAAAAACCCCGGCAAAAAAAACAGAATGGCAATGAGATAGCTGGAATCAAAACATGCCCCGCGCACGATGTTTGAAGGCGCAGGGTCAATCTGGAAAGCGTTGCCGACAAACTTCAAGTCGTCATTGTCGTCCTGCAAGACAGTGCCATCCTGCAAGGCCCCTCCCCGTGTGCAACTGGCTACGAAAAACAAAAGGGCATAGCAAAGGAACACGGGCCTGGCCGAAAATCAGAAACAAAGTCTTTAGCTTCAAAACACCTGTATCAAATTGAGAAATGTTGTCGAAAAATTGCTTTTAGCCTGTATGTACTCCCCCAAATCTTGAAACTTACCAAGAGTTCTCCGCAGCTATTCTTCTTAACTTAAGCAGCAAAGTCAGAGGAACACCATTGTTTTGCTTTAGCTTTAGAGGCATTGCGATGAAACAAAAGAATTCCATAGAAGGACTCAAACAAAATGAACGACTTTTGAAGTCTTCTGACATTGCGGTAAAAGGTTCATGAAACTGAATGTCTACCCAGGTCTACCCAAAACCAACAGAGTAGCTCTCGACAGCGGTCCTTCTGCAATTGCCTCACCCAAACGACTTTGGTTCCAAAGGCTTGGTCTAAACCTTAGGAGTGAATCTACAAAAACCAAAGGGAGACAAGGCCTTGAAAGGTACGTTCACATTCAACTTGATCTAATTCAAATGCAATCCATGTATGAAAAACTCTGAAATCTCCAAACTACGATTAGTATAACAAAACTTGCAACCGCAAACGACGGCATGTTTGCCGAGGAACGTGGTGGGTTGATGTGCGACATCTTCTGGATGCAGCGGATTCGATCATTCCTTTCCAACGCACGTGCTACGAGGTCGCACTCGACATAGTACTCCACCAAATCTGTACCCTCAGCGGCACCTCTCACAAAAGTGACTTCCGAACACAGTAAGGGAATGATTCTACACACTCATTTGGAATTCTTCGAAGCGAGCATAAAAAGCATAGACGTAGTTGAAAACATGCGAAACGCATCGAAACGCATGATCTGCTTCGGTTGTTTTGGGCCCCAGGCCTCGGTACAGAACGTGGTAACCAGTGTGCGCGATGTTTGGCATCAAACCGATGATCTCCACACCATCAGCCCTTGTATTCCTGACTCGTTCACGCACAGTCTCTACACTTCCGATCGTGAGGAGTGCCTTGTGGTCAGCATTGAAGTAGTTTGTCAGGTTTTCATTGTCAAAGCGATTGCGATGCTCATTGTGGCTTTGTTCGCCTCTTTTTGCCATGATGCATTCCAAGCTGAAAGCTGTCTGCTCAATCTTCACAAGCACATCAACTTTGCCATTGCGTGGGTTCAAAGGTGCAGAAGCTTTATACCCCAATCTCTGCAGAGCATGTGTGATGGCACCAGTGTATTGATCTTCATACGGCAAGTCTGACACAGAAAGGGAGGAATTCGATTCAAGGTCTACAGCAAAGGAGACCACCTGCGCAAAAGTCAGGTATGGCATTGCGCGAATCAACAAATCCATACAATTGACGGGCACAAAGTGTTCATCCTTCACCTTCACTTTCAATCCACGAAAGCTCTCTAATTGATGCCTGTAGTAGGAGGCCAGAATTGGATTGGCAACAGCATACGTGGCATCTGGTTTTGCCCAGTCCAGCTGATGGAACTCAGCATTACCTTCCGTGACAGGGATGACAAATCCCTGGATGGTCAACTCACGCCGCATCGACAAATCAGAAAGATTACCTTGACCTTCACAGAGAAGTCGAATGAATTCTTTTGGCACTACGTCAAGGTCACTGTAATCTCCATTCACCTTCACTCCTCGTGATTCAGCAAGTGCACCCAAGATCGTGCCAGTTGCCCAACTTCCCTGCCCAATGCTGTCTCGAACTTTTGCGACTGTTTGACTAAATGCCCAAGAAGTTCCACCTTGCATCTTTTTGACCCACATCATAGCAGCAACAAAAATTGATCTGTGGCCGCCGCAAAATTTGAGAAAGAAAGCCACACTTTCAGTGCACAGTTGCACATCTGCCTCTTTCAACTCTGTGACAAGATCATCAAGAGCATCTGTTTCAGGGACAGGAGGAGTCCAAAAGAACTTCTGTTTGATCTCGGAAGGCGTGACGTCGCCGCTCCTCTTTCCCTCCCCTGATGCCGAAAACAAGAGCAACTTGGGGTGTCTTGCACTCTTGAAGAGAGATTCGCAAAGTCGTGGTAACGAAAAAATTGTATGCGCTTCATCCAACACCAAAATGAGTTTGTTGTCAGCTGCTAACTGGAGAGCAGTTTGCAAGCAAAGTAAAGGCGATGTCTCTTGCAGTTTTGCAGTTCCTGTTGCGCTACGGACTGCCTCATTGATGTTTGCAATCCATGTCTCTTGTGCAGCGCTGGCGAAGGGAACGCAAACAAATGTCTCTGGGAACTGCCGTGCCAAATGAATCGCCATGGTGCTTTTGCCCACGGCAACACCTCCACGAACGAACACAAACTCCTGTTCTTCAAACAAATCCTCTATCTTCTGTCCATAACCTTCCAAGGGAATGAAGACGTGTTCTTCAGGATTTGCGGGACTTGTCAACGGAGGCAACTGTCGTTTCTTGGGTTCAGCTGCCAACCGTGTTTGTGCAAGCTGCCTTGCATTCACGAGTGCCCCTGGTACGAATGCTTGCAGCAGGCATTCTATGTACCAAACGCTGAACAGCTGCAGAAGCGACTTCCCCAGTTTTCGACTCATTGACGAAGCCATCGCTACAAATGAGTCTACCTCTCTACCTCTACCTCACATATTCAAACTATTCAAACTATGAACTCATTTCGATCAATTTACGCTGCACAAGACCACAAACCAGTCAGGCAAACATGCTTCCAACAGCAAAACCTTTCAAATGATTCTGGATGCGACTCCAAAAATTTCACAAACATGTCAAAGAACGAGTGATGAGCCAGACGACTAAAGGCAAGGTTTAGCAAGCGAAAACTGCATGCTGCCTGCACATGCAGAGCATTCCAATCAAAAGCGTTTCGCAGAGAAAAGTTCAGCCCCGTCTTTTCTCGTAGCATTGAAGTCTCAGAGCTGAATCGGCCTCGATATGCGGAAGGATCGGACAGGGAAAATTCAAGGTCTTCAGTTTTGCAAAAACCTTCTCAAAGACAGCCGGTTTCAGTTTGCTTTATATTCTAAGGGTTTTCCGAAGCATTTCTTTGCTGCCCTCACTAAGTTCATCTTTTCCAAGCTGAAGAAAGAAATTGTCAGGAAAATTATGTAAAGTTGCTGTTCAAAGTTGTCACGTGGGTTTCATACATTTGGTGAAACTGTCCACTGCTCATGGCATGCTCACACTCAATGGGTCAGTGCACGGAAAAGGTTGGAATGAAACCGCAAGGAAGCAAAGTGGACATGCACAGGACGCTTTGCGAATACGGGCACTCTGCTCAATCTTTGCAAAATCGGTTTGAGGTCAGCACCTTCTTTAAATAGGCCTGAACACATTCAAATTGAGATACACCGCATCTTGTCAACGTTCAAATTAAGAACAAGGCACGGGTTATCAAAAATAGACTCAAAAGACATGTCAGGAGTACAATACTTTGGGGCACGGGGTTACTTGGGAAAGCATTACCCACAAAGCCACTGCTGTCCTGCGAGTTCAACTGCATACAAAATCGGCCCCTAAATGAAGAGCATGCAGAAAAACAACATTGAGACATTGCATGACATTGCATGATATCATGTTGGGACATTTGGAACGATATCTGAAGATGGACTCCTTCACAGACTTTAGACACTCCGCAAGCGGCGCTCCGTTCAACGAGAAACGGAACCCTCCTGTTTTTGCATCTTGGCATCTTCGATCACCTCACTGCGATAGCATCACTTCCACAGACCCCGTGAGCCGAACCCAAAGTCAGATCGAACTGCGCCAAGCTCTGCGTGAGTCAAATGCGCACAGCTCTGCTGCGAAAAGCCAAGACTTTCTGGAGAAATGCAGAATCACTTGGCTTTCTGTCTCGTAACGAGTGTCTCATCACTCCTGACGACTCGTGGTGTTCTTGGCGTCTCTCGACACTCGTCTCTTCTCTCGTTGGCTTTGTCTCCTACCTTCCAGTCCTTCCAGTTCTTGCCATGTCCTCTCTTTTCATTTCAGCTCCACGCTCTCGTTCCACTTAAGTTCCGCTTTCCATTTCCTTAACTCCGAACCAAAAGTTCGCTCTAGGGAAGCCCGCGGAAAAGGGTTCTCCCCCACTGCAAAGGTTTTTCCGCTCCCTGCGCCCATTTTTTCCAAGTTGTGAAGCGCAACTCCGGAACTGTTTGACTTCAAAATCTTCTACGGTTTTCGACTTGGTTTTTGAACCTTTCCCAGGCCATGTGATTGTGGCAGCGCGGGATTCAATCCACAAACCGTGAACAGGGTTGAAAAGAGCTGGCTGCCAACAGGGCACTGCGCAACCTACCCAAAAACCTTCAACCAAACCTGAAAGCTGCGCGCAAAAATCTCGGAACGTATCTTATCTGCAGATCTGGAGAATGTGAAGTTGTGTTGCAACTAGTTTGTAACCAAACTGGTGGTTTTCTGCCCAGATGGTTTTGCCTGACCCGTCTGGCTTTGGGATGATTGCCCCCAATGCTCGTGAGACAGCTGATAAACTGATCGACTGTGCCTGGAAGCTGCTCCGGAACTTCCCCTACCAACTGCGAACCTGCTGGAACCTGTACCAATGACTCAACATCAAACCTCACAATCCCAAAATAAACCATCTCAGCTGTGGTTGAAGAGTTGGGCTGCGCCAGCCCTAGCTGCGCAAAAGTTATGCTGCGCCAGCCCTAGCTGTAGAAGAAAACGAAACAACTAGAGATAGGCAAGTATGCCTGAGAAACCTAGACAGAGCAACATGGAGGATAAATCAAGCAGGAAATCATTAACCATTAAGGAAAAACCGCCCTTCAATGCTGGCTCACAGGTTCCGTTTGTTTGGTTGCAAAAAAAGAAAGAATTAGAGATAGTTTTGAGACATGAGTAATGCAAATAGCTCGCTTTTTTTTAAAGTGAAATCATTAAAACAAAATCTGTGTAAACAGGCGATTAGCCTACTTAGACCGCAATACGCGCCTATTTTGCTTGAGCCAAAGTCAGGTGTATGTGAGACATGAATACGATGTACAACTGTGAAACCACAAAATCATTAAGAAAAAACCGCGCCCTCAATGCTGGCGGGGGGTTCGCGTGTTCGTGTTCGCAGGTGTGGGGTTCTCTGGTGAATAGACGGCCAGTGAAAGCATAAGAGGCGCAACTCTAGTTGTGAGAGCACTGCAGCTTTGGACTCGGACATTTCAATCTGGACCCAAAACTGGCACCTGGACTTGAACCTGCAAGGAACCTGTGAGCCATTGAGGGCGCGTTTTTGCCTTTATGTTTGTGGGTTTATGCTTTGTTAGGGCTTGTTGTTTGTGCTCTAATGTAAGTAATCCAATTCTTTTTATTGATATCATCTTGTTTCTCATTTTTCAGGTTACAAGGAGATTATTAATAAATGCGGACAGGTTCCTTTTGACCTGAAAGGGGTCTGCAGTCGGTTGGATGGAGTGGCTTCAGTTTCTCACTCCTCCTTTGGCATTGGTAGCCAAATGAACATGTTGGATCCTATGCCAACTTAGAATGGCAGGCTGGCTGAGTCCATGAAAGGAAAGTGCACATCCATCATGTTATATATCTCTAGTTTCCTCTCATGGTTTCCCTCACGGTCAGCCTTCGCCCACTCATCCTGTAATTTCAGCATGTGTTGCTTTGCACTGAGACCTGATCGTGCCTCTGGGCCATCAAACTCCGCTAGAGCGTTAAACTCATCTTTCGTGATCCAGGAACTTGTTGCCTGGTTCACGGTTGGGTCTTCGATCCCTGACTCCGGAACTGGTAGGTCTTCTTCTGCCCACTCCACTTGCTCTGGCGGCTCAGTCACCTCCATCGCTGTCGTAGGCACGTCTTCCTCACTCTCAGGCTCACGAGTCTCGATGAATCGGACAGGAATCTCGACCACTTCACCACTGTCGAGACGAACGGTCACTGTCTCTTCACCCTCCATGGCCTCATCCTCGGTGTTCCTGTAAGGCCTCAAGTCGATAGGCCCATCATCCTTCTCACAAGCTTCCTTGTATGCCTTGATTTGGGCATGGAGTCTTCTCCAGTCAAAATCCCTGTTTGAACGTTGAATGTAGTCCCAATGCTTCCAATCCTCTTCTTTGACATCTTCACTGTCGACATATCCAGAAGCTTTCACCAATCCTCGATGAATCCTCTCGATGTAGCCCTTCATTGACTTCACCTCTTCTCGCGTGCCTTGCACATAGGCTCTTGTTGAGACGCCGTTCACATAGGCGCTGTCTTTTGCATCTGCAATCTTCACCTTCAGCTCTTCCACCATCTCCATAGCCACCATACAGCCCATGCGAGTCCGGCAATCATCAACATCAGCATTGCGATGAAGATCATAGTGCCATAGCTTCTCGTCGTAGCTTCCTCCACCACCTCTGACCTCTCTGCAGTCACCTGCTCAAGACCCCCGAAGAGGAGGATCCGGTTCAACAGCTTAGCCAACTTGTAGATCTTGATGCCGTTCACCTTGCTCTCTTCCAATCTGGCGAGCTCCTCCTCTCCAATTCTCTCGTCAGCGCTGCTTCTGGTGTTGCACCAGTAGAGGATCAGAGTGATTCTGGATCTCGATAGCGGCTTCGTACCCAGGTCGGCCACATTGTAGGTGGTTCCCACAGCTTTGACTTGCAGCTCCTCCTGCGCCACTAAATCTTGGATCCATAGCAATTTGCCAGCTATGCGACGTAGTTTGCCTGGTCCTCGTCGGTGACAAAGGTGTAGTGCAGCCGAGTTATCCACGAGGCACTCATGTCTCACCGTCTCCTCCATCAGAAATTCTAGGCACCTCTTCAGGTAGATACCATCTGCGGCTGAACTCACCAAGGCATTCAATTCTGCCTCTGCTGACGACAATGCCACACTCTTCTGGCCGCGAGAGCTGCTGAAGATCATCATCCCATTCAGCATGTGGATGGCCGCGGATGTTGACCTCCTGTGGCTCTTCGATCCTGACCAATCACTATCACTGAAGGTCTCTAGCAACCACCTCGACTCCACTGCGCGGCTTACCAATCCATGTCCTGGCTCAACCACTTCAAGCACGCTATACTGACCCATTGTACCCTTGAGGTACCCAACAAGTTTTCCCAGCTTCTTCAAACTGCTGGTAGTAGGGCGCGACATCGTTGAAGCCAGTTCTTTGATGGTGTAGGAAACATCGGGCCGCTCCTGTGAAAGATATATTCCACATCCAACCAAGGAACGATAGAGGCTTGCCAACTCCGGCTTGAGTTCAACTGATCCATCAGGCTCGAGCACCTCCTGGCCGCAAGGGAGTTTCTGGCTCTTCACTCTTCCCATCTGCTCCTCGTATGCCTCGACCATCTGCTCGGCATACTTACCAGGCATCACTTTCAGCCCTTTCTCCATCTCCACGTATGTCCTCCGCAGGAATTGGAAGGAACTGTTCATGCCTGTCAGATGCTGTTCTGCTATCTCGAAGCTCTGCCTCAAGTCTGGGATGAACTTGTTCACCACATAGTCATGTTCTCCAACGAACATCACATCATCGACGTGGATCAACAACATCATCTTTTGTCCACAACGTCCCAGACAGGGGTTGATCTGCGAGAAGATGAATCCTCTTTCTCCCAACCAGTTGGTCAAATACTCGAACCACGCCTTGGCACCGATTCGTTGCCCTGGGAGATTTCTTTTGACTTCGAAATGTCCACTGGCAGTGCTCACCTGAGTTGGGACCGCTTGAGGGACCTGTAGGAAGGCATCTTTGATATCGAGTGCTCCCAGCGTATACCGAGGTCCTCCATGCTCTTCCTCCTGTTGCTTCATCAAGTAGATTGCTGGGAGAAGTCGTAGAGCTTGTCCTCCAGTCGCTGGACTATGCACATCATCTCGGCGGTCATTTGCGTACTCACGAGCTACCAATCTTGATCTCCTGAGAAATTGTTTTGGTGCTCCGGGTTCATTTGTCCTCTGCTTGGCCCTCCAATCTCGCACGAACCTCGTCGTGAGATCCTTGTAGCCCTCAATCTTCCTCTCCAACGGGGTGATCACTCCCAGCCTCTCAAGTCGCTTCTCCTCTACCTCATCTGCTAGATCATCGATCCAACTGGGCGGATCTGGCGGGACTCGATCAAGAGGTGCGTTCGACCACAAAGCCTCAGGAATCTCCAGAGCTACTTCATCTTCTTCTTCATCCTCGTAGTTCCACACGGCCAACTCCTCCTCACCGATGATGTAGTCCATGTGGTAGTACGAATCCTCACCAACCTGTGTGATCTCCACTCTCCTTTCCGTATTGGGCTCTTCCTGATGCTTCAATCTTTTGGGATCTGGCGTTGGCGCTTCCAATTGACGTGTAGGCTTCTCGATGGTCATCTTCATCTTCTTGCCTTCCACCTCTTCATGCTCCTGACCCAATGTCTTCTGAGCCGTACTCCTGGGCGTCGAAGGAGCATGTAGATGTCGATGGTGAGGGTTCGAGGGACCGGCTTGATTTCTTCCTTCATCAACAGCCATAGGTGAGGTCACCTTCACGAGCTCTGGAATCATCTCTTCCTCCACATAGTCCTTTCTCTTGTCCTCCGCCAGCTTCCTCTCCTCGGGATCTGGTGGTCCATCATTTCCATTGCCCTTTTCTCGTGCTGGCGCCTCATCGATCAAGTCCTTTGCCTCTTCTCTCTTCCCTGCATACGACTTCACAAAGGCGAGGATCTCTTGAGCATCCACATCATCCGGCGACACTCCGCTGCTCGGGGGCAGCGCTTGGCTCATGGGCATGCCAACCATAGAGGCCATTCTCTTCGACGGGACAATCCTGCCTCCAAAGTTCTGCTGATACTCCCAGCTGTAGGCAGTGAACCCTTTGTAGCACATGAGGTTCTTCTTGCTTGCGTCCGCCATTCTCCTCATAGATCTACTCAAGTAGACTCTGTTGACATCCCCAATCACCCAGTTGTCCTGGATCTCCGTCTTCCCCAAGTAGATGCCAATCCTCCACTTAGGATCTGCTTTGAAGCCTTGTTTCGGCTTGCAGTAGGCGAAACAAATCTCCCCGAAGTTGCATAACTTGCCTTCATAGGAACGACCGTGAGCTAGCTCATAACTCGTCGACCCATGGAAAGGCTGGAATCTGTTGATCAGCCATGCACTATGCCTGCACGCCCAGCTCCAAATTGGGTGTTGGCTCTGGAACCTCAGCTCGATCCTCTCAGCCAGGTCCTCCATCAAGGTTGCTGCAAGCGAGCGAATCCTTTGGATGGCATTCTCCACCAGTCCATTCCCTGCCGAGTCGTAGATTTTTGTTGTCCTCATCGTGGTCTTCAATCCCATCGACGATCTTGCATTCGCCAAGAGCTTGAGGATCTGGCGCAGGGTCGGTTCATTGTCGCTATAGTACTGAACCTCCTCGTGGCCCAACACCTGGGTGAAGGCGAGCAGCTCATGGGTGATCAAACTCATTTGGTTCTTCGATTTCACTGGCAAGGCCAGCAAATAGCCTGTCTGTGAACAGACTGCGATCAGTAGGAGCGCACCACGCTCGACCTCCAGTCCAGCCTGCGCACCATCCTCTGCTTCTTCTCCAATCGCCCCTGAGCCTGAAGACTTCACATAGCAAAAGTCGAACGACACTGTGGGGCATCCCTGCTCATGGGACTTTCCTGTCCTCCTGTGTTGGTCCTGCCTGGCTCGGTGTTTCAGGCAAGCTGTACACCAAGGCTGGTATGGCAGATGCGTGAGCTCATGTCGACGTCTCTCTTCAACAGTAGGTTCACGAGCTGATGCCTGCTCCACGGGAATGCGTTCATCCATCGCTCTTCCTTGGGCTGCTAAGTCTCTGGCCATGAGGAGCTCCAGCTGATGTTGGTGTGCCATCAACCTATTGAAGCATTTCTGCTTTCCTCCACTCTGCCCAATGCGATAAAAGGCGCAGGCAGCTCTCAAGCTCCGAAGTGGACTGTCCAAGGTCAGCACAATCCCATTCACTTGAAGTTGTGAAGGAACTGCCACTCCAATCTCCAATCGTGCTTCCTGATCTTCAAGACTAGCACCATGGACACGCTCTCCACCAGGAATGTCCACTCCTTCCACTTCTTCATCCTCCATAGCCTCAGGCACGGCCAGCTCCTCCATGCCTTCAGGGCTTGGCTTGAAGTGAAATCCACCCATCACCTCGAAACCAAAAGTCTCCGGCACCGTCCCGCTTGAAGCAATGAAGGTCATCACCCGACTCCTTTCTTCCTCCTTCAACTCTTCAATAGGCTCCTCCTGTTCCCAGAGCCCATCAAGCGGCTCAGCCATTTCAACCAATTCCCATTGCCCACGGCGCTCCACCAGCGTTGACCTGCAAAGGCCTTCAACCTGGTCTTTGAATCCCGGCACAAACTGAGGAGTTTGGTAGTGTCGGCTGGAATGAACTCCCAGCCAGAAATCACCTTTCTTCTGCCACCCATACCTGCCAACTGCTGTCTCTTGAAGCTCTGAGCCAAGTCTCACCTTCAGTGTGCGAATCGGGCTGGGTTCGTGAATCATCCTGATATGGGCACGAACCACCACGCTCTGGTTCTGAAACACCAGGGGAATCTCGATCTCGTCATGCTTGAGACATTGAGTTTTGCCATCGATGGACCAGCCTGTCCTCAACAACCTGCCATACGACAAGATGGGCTGGCTCACTAGGTCGGAGAAGGTGACTCTCTCCTTGACGATCACCTCTCGCCCCTCCTTGGAGTGCATGACGATGTCCACATCGCTATGGCCGTAGGTCTGGATCTTGGTGCCTTGCGCATCCTGAAGGTATGGACACACTCCCTTCACGGGCTTCCCTTTTCCCATCAGATGCCCTGGAAAGAGGGACACGATCACATTGATCGTCTCTTCATTCTCACTGCCCGGATCGTCCACATCCATGTCCTCACTCTGCTTCTGGATGGTGTTGATGACATAGTCCATGTCCTGTTCATCCTCATCCTCTTCGTCAGTTGCAATGCTGTAGAACTCCACGGATGACCTCGGACTCTCTTGAATCATGCGAATTGAGCCAGTCAG